CGTAAAATTTTAGCCACCCCGATCAATGATGTAATTGGTTTCGTCCAATGGAAAATGATATTTGTATTCATCCAATGCGAAGTGGTGGAGGGAATTAGTAAACTCCAAAGGGCATTGATTCTGGTACCATTTCGTCTAGAGGTTTCTTTAAGAGTATAAATTTAATATTTATAATAATATTTAGATCTGTTAAATATAAAATGCAGGTTTATACATACCAGAAATTTTGTTCTTTGCCTATTTTTCAATTTTTTAACTAAATCTGAATCGTCACTTGTAACCTGACTGGCTAACGGATGTCGCCAAGTTAGTTTCGAAACAGGTATATCATTCAAATTAGCTATTAATGCTTGGTAAAGTTTTGATTGGTGGATGCTTGAGACGCCATTCTTAATATAAAATTTCTTGTCAAGCCAAGCATTGATGATATATTTTAAGATTTGCTAAAACCAATAAATTATGTTTTGTATATTACTTACCGAAAGCTTTCCTCTTAATTTATTTATATTATTGCTAACCTGTTGCGAAGTAAGAGGCTTATCTTTATTCTAAAAAAGTATACGTTGATAATCTTTTGTTTTAATCAACCATCCAACCATCGTAAAAACATACCGTTTTTATTACTCCAACTTCCAGCAAGTTTATAATAGAATCAAATGAAATATCGAACTAGACACAGTTATAAAAACAGGTTAGAAACTACTTTTGAATAATGCGCACTATACATTATCAACCACGTGGCAGTCAAACAATACAAAGACACATCCGGTACGGCCTGTCTACACGAATGGGACTTTGTGAGTGTATGTCTTCTACATAGAAACGAATATGGTCTACAATATAAACACCCTCCACGCTGTCGAGGAAAATTCCTGTTGGCGGGCTAATAGGGAAATCTATACTGTCATATCCGCTTCCTTAGAATTACACCTCTCTCTGCATCACTCATCATTCTGTTCATAAGTATAGTATTTAAGAGAGATCCATAACTAACCTGAGGCATAATTTGATTAATTCTTCTTCTACGTTCGAAATCACTAGTTAAATTTTTTACTGTGTCTACCGCTCTGCGCACAATACTTCTCAATTCATTCTTGCTAATCCATGGATTATCTTCCAATCCTTGATAAATAACGGCAGCAGTCATAATATGCTCAGTTTCTAAGTCAGATAAATATTCAAACGATTTTTACGCGTAAGTTATTGGAAGACATGTTGGTAAAAAAAAATATAATTTTCAAAGCTTTGTTAGGATGTAAGGGGGAAAAACGCAAATACTGTAACAAGAACCGAATCACTAATAAGCGACAAATAACAATAAATTCGAGATACTGCCCTTTTATATGTTTTTCTTTCACCTTTCTCTGAAACTCAAATGTTAGAAAGGAGAATCATCTCTATATAGTTATAATATTAAACCATCAATAATGATAATAATCTTAAGGAGTAGAGATTGGAACCGTTCAACCATTGGCTGATTACCGATAAAATTTATATCACAAAATTCGTGAAATTTAACTATTTGATTGGTTTATTATCACATGACTTTAACCGATCTTTTGATCAAATTTTTTTTGATCGGTTCCAATCTCTATTTAGAAGAAATGGTTTGCGTACATCAGTTTCGTGTGACATCATCAATTTTTTCAAGTAATCGTCGGATTTTTTACAGGAATCAATATACACATTTAAAAGACAAAAAAATTTTACCGAAATAATAGGAAAATTACATTTTTTTTTTAAATAAAAGATTTCAAGTAGCTCTACAATAAAATTCTTTAAAATATTCAAGTTACTTGTTTTTTAAAGATCTCAATGATTTTTGAAGTTATTAAAAAAATAGCTCTATTTCGCAATAGAGCTAGCTACCATAGAGCTTTCATTTAAAAAAAATTATAATGTAATTTTGCTTATCAGTTGTGCTAAAAAATGTAAAATAATTTTGTATGTCTTTATATGTGTAAATTGATGCCTGTAAAAAATCCGCAATTAGTGATTGACAGTAAAGCGATGTAGTGATGTTACACGAAACTGATGTAGCAACATTTAAATATTAGTAATTTACATTGAATAGTGCTTTAACTCTCAATCCGAACTCGAAATTAACTTATTAAAAGCAAATCTAGTGAATCCAAGATTCTTGTTTATGCTTAACTGAATTATACTGTTATTCCAAATACCAAGGTGCATAGTACTAATTATTTACAGATTAATTACTATCATTATAAAGTGAAAATATTTACGACATAGAATATAGATATACCTTCGACGGTTTCTATCCCAATCGATGACGTCCGCCCACTCTTCATAAGTTGTAGGATTAGAAGAATTTGTTGATTTTATGTAATTCACATAAAACCGCATAATATAGTCGACAACGCACATAAAATATGGCATTATTAAGTAATTATCGCATAATCGGCTCTAAGTGCTGTTCTGAATAGAAAATCAATCAACACAGATTACGAGAAAAAAATTGGGGAAAGTTCTGGACTATTCCAAAAGACGGCTTTCATGCTAAGTTAGCTATAAAACTTCACATTTTATGTCAAAACATGGCTTAATTCCTATAAAAAAAAAATTAAAAATCATATTCAGATTTTGTTCAGATTATTATTTTTAAAAATGAGCATTTTTCATAATAAGAACCTATATAAAACCCTTTTAAATTCCGATTTTCTTTATGCCAAAAAAAATTATAACCAGAAAATTAAAAATTTCGGGAAATTTAAAAGGGTTTTATATGTCATACCCCAAATTGGAATTATCCAGCGCTACCAACCTAAAAAATTTCGCTAATCATGTGCTGGCCAATCAAAATTTTTTTGTTAATGACGATATCATTAAAATATTTTTTTTTTAAAAAAAAGAAGAAAATTATACAACATTTAAAACTAATTTTTTTTTAATAAAAAAAAAATTTTTTATTTATTAAAATTAACAATAGCTATTTTTTACAAAAAAAACTATCAAGAAACTATCCTCTGCGGCCTAATTAAAATGCATCTTTTGCAATTTTACTAATAGAAACTTTACTCCTAACCCAAACCCTAACCCAACCCCAAATTACAACGTTGAATTCTCAGCAAAAATTACAAGAGAATCAACTTTTCTAGGTGTGCTGCTAACCCTAACCCAACCCAAACTACACCGTCGAATTCCCAGTAAAATGAATCACCAAAAGAACGGCAAAGAGACCACTAAAAGAATGATGAAAGAATACCAGAATACTGAAAAAATGACAAAAAAGTGGTGAAAGAAGTACTGAAAAAGCGATAAAAAGGTGGAAAAATGACAAAAGAAAATGTTGATCTAAAAAAAAAAAAAAGACCACGAAAAAAGTATTAAAAATCAAAAAAACCACTAAAAGAACGACAAAGAATAATGGAAAACTCTAAAAGAATGATGAAAGAACACCAAAAAATCACTGAAAAGTGACGAAGAATTTCTGAAAAAGCAACCAAAAAAAGAAGCTCCAAAAAAACAATGCCAAAAAAATTATTGAAAAAAAACAAGAACGATGAAGAACAACAAAAAACTCCAAAAGAATGACGAAAGAACACCAAAAAATCACCAAAAAGCAACAAAAGAAGTGCTGAAAAAGCGACCAAAAAAAGAGGCTCCAAAAAATGACAAAAAAATTATCAAAAAAAAATGCAAAAAAAAAATAAAAAGCCTAATTTTAGGGACTATCTAAAGCCAGATGCGTTCATGTGACTAACAGCCAATCAAAATATAAATTTTGATTAACCTGGATCAGCGCAACAAGACAAAAACAAAGAAAAAAAGTGAAAAATGCCAAAAATACAAGAAACGAGTGTCTAAACCTGTCTTGAAGTATTAATAAAAAAATGTTGGGAAGACAATTTTACCTACCCTTACCCTAATTTTAATTAAATAATCATAAACATATAAATGCACCTGGCTTTAGCCATCCCCTAATTTTAGTAGTTGATTAGCCTATCACATGATCAGCGAAATTTTTTAGATTGGTTACGCTAGGGTCTTAGGAATTATCCCGATTCAGAATTGGGATTTTAGGGTTAGGGTTAGGGTTGGTGTTAGGTTTAGGTTTAGAATATAAAAATTTTATTTTTGTGGTATAATTTGAACAAAAATTACAATATTCTAATCCAGGACTGAATCGGGAAAATTCCCAATCCGGGGCTGAAATTATTTTTCCAAATTAGCATAGTGATTCGAATTATCGCGCTTATACGGTAATCTTCATTCAATATTTAAATTTTTGTAAAAAAGAAGCTATGACTAAACTTTAGCCTTTAATAATATTTACGATAAACTGGGTTATTCCCCCGGTTAAAATCGAAAAAAAACTTGATAAATTTAAATTTTAATTCTACAATTACAAAATTAAAGTAAAAAAATTTCATCAAATTTGAATAGATAGTTGTAGAGAAATCATCATTTATAAAAAATTTTATCTAATTTATTTTTTTTTTTTATTACAAGTTTCTTGATAACCACTAAAACCAATTTTAATAAAATTTATTTTTATTTAATTTTACAAATTATAAAAAAAAATAAAATTTTTACTGAACTTGATTGGTTGAATAGTTATTGAGAAATCTTGTTTAAAAAATTCAAAATTTTGGAAAGGATTTTAATCAGAAATAATCTGCAGCAGGAAACCCGATTGAACAATTCACATCTGATTCGGAATTCTGATCAAAATTTCGTGACCTTATTTGTTAAAGTCATCGAATAATTTTGTAAGATGCCAGGCTTTAGACGACCTCAAATATAGCGCACTTCAACGTACATGAGTAAAAATTTTAATATACTCTACCCTTCCGCACATTAATATTAGAAGGATAAGTAAATAATTATCATGATAGAGGGCTAAGAGATATTTATACTTTTAACTTTAAAAGTAATTTAATACTGTAAAAAAAAGTTTAGAACGCAAACTTTAAAGTAACAGGAATAAAAAATAATACGAAGCAATCTTAAAGTATTAATTCTTTTGAAATTCATTAACT